TTTTTGGATGGATTTTGTAGATCTAAAGTATACGCATTCAAATTTGGTTCATTGTTCATCAATTTTAAGATTTTTTTCAGCATTTTTTTTTTATTTGATTGTGAAAAAATATGCAGAACTGAGAGTCATTCATTAGTTGGTATTCAATATTCATCTTGAAATTCGTAGATCTAAGATTTTGCATACGTTTATAAATGGTTTGCATCAATATGTTAGATTTGTTCATTACACATCAATTATCCAATCATTATTCATCCATATTGAATGGGTTATTCACCATATTTATCATTGTATTGTGCTTGTTCATTGTTTAGCTATTGTTATTCATCAATACTGCAGCAGAGATGCATATATGATTGTTGAATATCAATATGTTCGTTCATCGTTATTGTTATTAATGTTCATCAACTGCTATTCATCAATTAAGGTTATTCATTAATTGAATGTAAGATATTCATTACATACTAATGCAATAGGTTTGGACACCTGCTGGATATTAAATGTAATAGGTTTCATAACGATGATCAGTGCAAAAATTTGGTCAAAAACTACGAGTAAGTACTATATTACTCACCAACATGCAGTGATTATTCATCTTTTCATGAAAATTATTCATCAGTTTGATTGATGCGCTTTCTGGATGGGTTTTGTATATCTAAAGTATATTCATTCAAATTTGGTTCATTGTTTATCAATATTAAGATTTTCTTCAGTATTTTTTTTTATTTGATTGTGAAACATATGCAGACCTGAGCGTCATTCATTAGTTGGTATTTAATATTCATCTTGAAATTCATAGATTTAAGGTTTTGAATACGTTTAGAAATGGTTGTGCATCAATATGTTAGATTTGTTCATTACACATCATTTATGCAGTCATTATTCATCTGTATTGAATGAGTTATTCACCATATTTATTATTGTATTGTTCTTGTGCATTGTTTAGCTTTTGCTATTCATCAATATTGTATCAGTGTTGTATATATGATTGTTGAATATCAATATGCTTGTTCATCGTTATTGTTATTAATGTTCATCAATTTCCAAAGAAATGCATCACGAAATCTATTGTACTCAACATTATTTTTTCCCTCCTGTACATTCTGGAGTAATAGGTCACAAGATTGCCGTTATCATCTAATGAATTCGCTGATCAACGTTGGAAGAATTAAAGATCTGAAATGGTGTGAACATCATAACAGTGCTAAAGCACTCAAGATGAACTCGATCGGTCAGGAATCAAATATTTGGCAGAGTTACTGAAATCAAACAATCAACATAAACGTATCGAGTATCGGCGAATCCTTTAATACCTTATATGTTAAAAACAATAACTAATTTTATTTTCAATTTTGGTGTAGTATAATGCATAATTAGAAGTTTGTTAATTTAGTTGATGACATTAACTCATTGTAAAATATACGCTTGTTAGTTTTTTTTTTTTTGTTTTTTAATGAAAGTACCTCTTGAAGTTTTTGTCCCTTATTTGCTACATGCAAACTGTTTCCAATATACAACACCAGATTTGGACCTTCTCCTTAATTTAAACTTCTTTATTGAAAAATCGATGCGCTTTGCGTAAGAATTGTAAGCATCAAATGGCTCTCCCTCTGAGTTAAAAAAATCGTCCAATTAGAACGTCATCTGTTGAACACGAAATACATTATTCATCAATAACAATATGTTACTCATTACTTAAAGTAAGTTGTTCATCATTAAATAGTAACAACACAATACGTCATCTGTTGGACAAAAAAAAAAGAAGTAACTTATTCATCTGTAACCATATGTTACTCATTACTTAAAGTAAGTTGTTCATCATTAAATAGTAACAACACAATACGTCATCTGTTGGACACAAAAAAAAAAGTAACTTATTCATCTGTAACCATACGATACTCATCAGATATGAACCATTATACATTAAAAACTGATTTAACATTCATTACGAGAACTATAACATCCGATCAATTTGATCATAGTACCTCTTGGAGATTCAGGACTTTGATCATCGATTACAACCAACGATCTATCATCTCTAACAACAATTGATGAAGATTCAAGGGCTACATCACCGATCTTTTTTAATCCATACAAATTCAACGGATCTTCCATGGCAACTCCTTCTTGTACAATATTCACATCTTCTTCGTTATCCAACCAACCATCATCACTGGAATCTATTCTGTTGCATAAATCTTCACCTTCCATCGTAAATGATTTTTGTGTTTGAAGACTATTTCGATGATTTTTGCTAAAATTTTTCAGAATTGGTACAATTGTTGAATGATCTTGATAATAATGGGAAGATAAATTAACCATTCAAATTTTAAAATTGTGCGGGGATCACGTTTTGTGATCACGTAATTAAAACTATGATTTGGGGTTTTAAATGCGCGAGTGAATATAATAAAATATGATGAAAATCCCCACTTTTTTTGGTCAAAAGTGAAACACACGCATCTCCTAGGAGCACTGTGCTAGGAGCTCCTAGGAGCTTGTTATTATTTGCCTATACCATTGTGGATGCTCTAAGTATAACCGAGAGGAATGACTAATATGGTTTATTACAATCAAACCATCGCATTTAAGAGGCTTGGATGAAACCATGATTATAACTAACCTTAATTTTGGAGTAAGGATCTCTTACACTGTAATCCTATAACATTTCCTAAAGGGTATTGCTAAACGTAGCTTGGTTTTAATTCGCGTAACTTGTAAAAATACGAAAATACTCCTCTTCATAGACACTTAAAATACTAACATAAAGCTGAAAAATATTAACATAAAACTGATTATTAAATGTAATTAGATTTAACATAAAAAAAAATTAAACCAAAATAATAGTACCAATTCTAAAAGAAACGAAAGATATTTTAATTTCATAATAGGCACACTTGTTTCTTTGTTAGATTTTAATTTTTTGCATTCTTGACTTGATTTGCTTTAGAAAAAACAAAAGGCAGAACTAAAGGAGAAGGTCAATAAACAAGTATGCCTCATTTGTAAACAATTATCCCAAACAATTACTTGTTGCGACACCGATAACTCTTTTTTTTTCTTCTATTTTTTGTGTTCTTAAGTTCTCTACCATTGCAAACTATCAATAGTCAGTGAATGTTATGACTGTATGTTTGAAAGAATTTGTGATAAATGATAAAAAGAGAGTGTCCTATAAAAGAGTGAAAGGTAGGAAGTTTTAAGGTTTGGGGGTATGTTGGTACTTTTACAAGTTACGCGAAATAAAATCAAGTTATATATGTTTAGCAATTCACTTTCCGATATTACTTTCTTTTTTTTTAAAATTATACTAACACCCAACCTAACATTAAATGAATCTATCAGAGCATGTGTCAAAATTTAAATGAATAATATAAAAAATGGTGTAGGATTATGGTGTAAGAAATCTTTTATCCTAATTTTGGCTCCCCAATTCAATATTGCCAACTTTACTGTGATCTCTAAGTGTGTCGTGATTTGAATGCTGAAATAAATAGTTTTAAAAATATGACTTAATGATGAAATAATAGGGTATAGACTATAACATCTAAATCCAATTTGGGAGATCTATATGGTAGTTTTATTTTAGCATTATAGTAAAAATTCCTAAATTAATATTATATAAATTAATACTACATAAATTAATAAACTATGATAAATAATAAATTTTTTCAGGGACCAGAATAAAAATCAAACAAAATTGATAAATTAATAAGATAATAAATTTTTAGAAAATTTCTATGTAACATGAAAGTTCCATAAATCATAAATTAATGATGATGTAAAATACTAAAAATATAAAAAGGTTTAAGAATGTAAGAGGCTATTGGGGTTTTTTTCCCTTGAAACTTTTATCTAACAATATTTTATCAACAATTTTTCTCCATGTTTCTTGTAATGTAAGAAACCAGCTTGTACATGTTTTGTTTAACCTTCGACTATTTAATTTATAATCCCCTTATAAGTTCATAAAATACATCCGCCTTAAAATGATTATTTTCAAAATCGAAATTGGACAATCGTTTTAGGATAAAAATATCTAATAAACTCATTCATTTGATTATTTAATAAAACCCTTAAAATAATTTATCAGTGTAATAGGTCTCAAACACTATATTTATCTTGTTGTACGTATCTTTAATATATACTCAATCTGTTTCAAAATAATTGTTCAATTTAAATTTTTATTCATAGTACAATTTGTACTAAGAGTAAAATCCTACACCGGACAATCGTATCGGAATGAAAGAAATACTCCCTCCGTCCCATAATTATTGCTCAGTTTGGATTTTCATTTTTAGTTCAAATTGTACTAAAAGTAAAATCTTAAACTGGACAATAATTTTAGGACAGAGGGAGTATATAATATGTTGTCACTTCTATATATCGGATACTACTTGTTTGCTTGATCATAAATCTGTTCTTACACATATATATTGTTTGAAGTTACAAACAACTTCTCTGAATTAAGGTTACAAAGATTGATGGTATTTTGATGGAAGTGCTGATTGGTGTCAATATTACAAATCTGCTATCTTGTTTTAACTACTTAATCTACATCTGCAAATTATTCCCCAAAATTTCTCTATTTTTGTCCCCTAGGAATTGATCCTGAGTCTATTAGGAAGGCTTCTTCCTTCCCCCTAAACTATCTCATTCGAAAATCAAATGGACTAGAAAAAAAAGGTGGACATGTGGAATTTCTCTTAGTAACACGTATTATTATTCTCTGTCCTACGTAATTGTTGAAGTATTTGCAAGAATGCAGTAAGAAAAAAATGTTTGATACTCTAAAAATTACTAATATTCATTAATTTTTTTCCGTAATAATATGGTGTTCACCGTCCACAAAAATAATTTTCTATAACGATTGATTTGTAAGCATTTCGACCAGAGTTGGAAAATCAAACGGCACTTGGTTTTAACCAAACCAAAAGAATCTGTTGTTCCAAAGACTCTACTAATTGTTTTTCCCCTTATTTTTTGTACTGTTTTGATCAAAATTGCTAGAAAGTGAGTGCATGCCAGCTTTTTATGACCTTTTTCTTGATTATCCTCTTCACACATGTCTTCCATTATTACTTACATCATCACTTGCCCCACTTTGCCCCTCCTGCCCGACAGCCCTATATAAAAGCCTCCCTTTCTATTCGGTCACTTCTTGAATCGCTGCCCGTCCTCTATTTCTCCATTTCCTTTCTCACTCGCTTCTCTTTCATTTCAACGATCAAATTGAAAAAAAGAAAAAAAAAAGGTTCCTCCTTTTTTCTCGTATTTTCCTTTCCTTCGCTTTTCGTTCTGGAGCTATGAGTCTCTTTGGCCTTGGCAGGTAAGCTCGGAATGGGATTGCATCTCTCATTTTTGGGTTTATATATTTTTCTTAATGCGATTCTTTGTCTTTTTTTTTTGGTTTGATCATATTTGTGTTATGTGTCTCTGCCTGTGTGTGTGTGTGTGTGCGAGCGTTCTCTTTGTTTATGGGATTTTGATTAGATTCATCGTTTTGGGTTTCGTTAATTTTGTGGATTGTAGATGTATCTTAATCAAGATCAAATGGGTTTTGAGCATTTTTTTTTAAAAAGATGCTATGTTTTTTTTTAAAGTTTCTGAAATTCCTATGTTTTTTTTTTTAAAAAAATAGTGAGTGGCGTAGAATTCGACATCAACGTTCAAGATACTGAGATATGTACGTATGTCTCGAAACGTTCAAAGTTAGTCAGATATGTTTGTCGTTTAATGAGTTGCTATGTGCATGTATTTTCTGTTCAATGCAAACATAGCTTAATTCAAAGGCAAGCTAGGATCTTGATTCTTCAGGTAAGAGATTCGGTAGTGGATACCTGAGACAGAATTTGTCAAGAATCTATCGTAGAAGGGATGAGATCTTTTTTGCTGGTTAGTTAGGATTGGATTTGGGTTCAGGATGATCTACTTGGGTTGGTTAGATGCTCTGAAGATGGGAAGGAAACATCCAAAAAAAAAAGAAGATTAGGACCAAAGTTTAACTTGTCCCCTGAAGTTTAAAACTGCAGTAGAAATGAGGCAGACAGAATCACATTCTCTTGGCTTTTGGCTTAAAATTGCAAAAAGTATCCCGGAAAAAATGTGTAAGGGATTTGGAGAATATATTATTATATATTTTATGAAATGTAGAAGGATGTGACAGTTAGATAATAGTCTACTAGCTTGAGCTTGTTCCTATTGCTATTGAAGACATTCAAGTACTAGACTGAAAATTTGTTGCTAGCCAGATACGGTTAACAACTCAGTTAGTAGTCGAAAACTTATACTTTTGAGGTATATCTTTGCTTTAGGTAGATTTTTGTTCAAGGTTTGCAAGATCTCATAATTTTGTTGTGTGAGAGGATTTATAGTTGTTGGTTTATGCAATAGGCCGTTGGATAGATTGAATGGCTTATAGATCTAAATCATGTCGCAATGTTAGTAGCACCTGGTGCATATTTTTCGGTGTAGAACTCCATAATAGTAACGAAATCTCAATGTCGTTTGTATGCATTGACTCAAGAAATTTCAACCAATGAAAACTAGTCATGTTTTGTTGTGATTGGGAAAAGTCATCATTAGTTTTTTAAAGTTTTCTACTCTGACAAGTTATTATCAGGAATAACATGATTACACTTTCAAGTTTCAACACAAAACATGATTTGTCAACTGGAAAGGTTTTGGTATTTGAGTAACATAAATCTGCTCATAAATTGTCGGTGTTGAGGCTGTATTATGTTCTAATCTGTGTCGTAGACCGAAGTTCCCTGCTATTTGATGAGAGAACACTTGGAAAATCAGAATAAATGATGACTAGAGTCGTGAGTGTATAATAAACTTTTATGCAGATTCCTGAATTATTGATAAACCTTCATGGGAGGTCTCTGTCCGTCTCCAATTGCTACTTCTACAGTTTATAGGAAGGAAAAGCTAGCTGCCATTTCCACTTTGACGTTGTGGCTCAAAAGCATGTATCTTATCTTGCTGGAAAGGAAAATTGGGTTGTAGGACTCATGGTGTTATAATCTTACTGTATCAACTTTCACGATGTTTGGTACAGTAGTTATAATGACTGTTCGGCTAACTTCTAAACTTCGTCCTTGAATATGTCTCATAGGTAGACGTGGCGACTTTAATGTTTCATATGCTACACGTGCCATGATGCCTGCTTTATAGCCTAATGAACCACTTCCAAAACTGCAGCGGAAATTTCTTTGTAAATATAGTATTGGGAATTAAAAAAATGGACAAGTCAACTTTGTCTTTTTTGAGGGAATGATACTTTACACTCACTCTTACTCTTTCCTGAACTACGTTTTCTGGTGTGAGGAGTTATTTGTAATTGCAGCCTCAGTTGTGAAGTAAACCTGTTACCTGATCTTAACCTATTGCAGAAATCTCTGACTCTTATAGTAATTTGCTTGGTTGGCTTTTGAAAATGTTCTCATGACGAATTTATACCAAAATCGCATATTTAAGTAGGTGACGCGTTTGTAATTAGATGCTATAAATTACAGATTTCCAAATTCACACATAAACAGAGACATAAATATCAAAATTGTAGAGGAAGAGAAGGTTGTGAAGATTAGCCCTTTGATAACCATATTTGTTACATGTCCTGCCGTTTAGTAATCATCTTGTGTACTCCCTCCATTCCAATTCAATAGGCCCATTTAGACATATACGGAGATTAAGAAAAAGTGGGTTATGTAGTTTATGTAGTTAATTTTAAATAAAATTCCTACTACACCCTTATTAATGACTAGTGAGTTATTAGTTGATAAGAGAGAGTAATAGTTGAAATTAATTAAATGTTCTTGATTTCAGTGAAAGTGGTAAGAGTATATTAGATAGTTTATAGAAAAAGTTAATTAATTGTCTGAAGTGGGACTAAGTTTTGAAACATCCCAAAAGGGGAAGTGAGCCTATTGAAATGGAATGGAGGGAGTAATTGATAACCAAATTAGGATTTTCATTTTTTTAGTGTTTGCCTTTTTGTTTAAACCTTGACCATGCTCTTTTAATTAACAGGAACCAGAGGACATTCCGGCCCAAAAAGAGCGCACCTTCTGGGAGCAAGGTAACTCTTTTGCTATTTGCATTAGAGATTCTATATGTTTTGTCACCTTCGTTCAATGTCCATATCAACCCCACCTTTCAACCATTATAGTATACCTATAATATAATGTGCCTGAAAATTTTCTTTCCAATAAGCTTTTGGCCTTTGTAATCTGATTTTCTGAACCTTCTGTCGGATAAAAGTTCTCAATCTAGCCAAAAAAGTCAGCAAATGAATGTAATGTGTGGCGATGCTATTCTGGTTAAAACTTCATTAAGGTAGTTGTATAGGCATTTTCTCCTTTTGGTTGATCCTACTATTCCATATAACCTCATAACAATAGCAAACTCTGATAACCTGAAAATTTTATTACTGCCACATCCTTGGAGTTGTCTGTGAATTTTTAGTGGTGTCAGATATCACTTCAATAGTCCATTCATTGTTTTCAGTTGAACTTGCTTACATTTTCTTTTAGTGATTCACAATTCTTATTATACAAACACTGTTCTGATGCATCTTTATTCTTCTTTTCCTGTTTCAGGGGGCACAGCTAAGAAAGCACATTGATGCTACTTTGGGTAGTGGAAACCTGAGAGAAGCTGTAAGGCTTCCTCCAGGGGAGGATATAAACGAATGGCTTGCCGTAAACAGTATTCTTTCTTGCTCTCTAAACCTTATTTAATTCGATCATGCTGCTTCGCTTGGTCTTGCCATTGTTTTCTTAACTTCAACAGGGCTTTCTCGTCATTTACTGAAGATTACTTTCCCTTACATACTCTGATATAAAGTTATAGCCAAAGTTGTCAAAGTAGTTGTGGTTCCTTTGATAACACACTTCGATTCCTGGTAAAAAACTGCACCTAAAAGTTAAGACTCATCGTGGTATAAAACAATATCTGAATCAGCTCATTATGATTTCTTTTCAGACAAGTTTAAGTATGTTGTACTTAATTTTGGAAGCTAAATTTGGCAAGTCCAAAATCTGCATGCATGTGATATCTGTTCTTACTTAATTTCCTTTTGAGATAGCAAACTAATTTAGTTTCTATTTTTTTCAATCCCAGCTGTTGATTTCTTCAACCAGGTAAATCTGCTTTATGGCACCCTCACTGAGTTCTGTACAGCGGAGAACTGTCCCACTATGACTGCTGGCCCTAAGTAAGTTCTAAACTAAATACTTTATTGCTGCTCATAAAAATAAGTGGCCTAGGGTTTGCCAGTGTCCTATACTATTAGATATGATCTCGATTTTGAAAATATGGAGATATCCCTAAGTTCTAAACTACATACATTATTGCTGCTCATAAAAATAATTGGCTTAGATTTTGGCCAGTGTCCTATACTATTAGATATGGTCTCAATGTTGGAAATATGGAGATATCATTTTGGATTTTGCTCGTCCGATTTCTACTTTAGAACATTTCAGAAGTATGCCGTGAAGATTTTTCAGTTATCACCTACTGATGATGCTTGGCTTGAAAGGACACATTAAATGTATATTTTCAAAATGGAATAATCTAGAAAAGCTATGGTGAAATTAAGGACGTCGTTTTCTGGGCCAAGTATAGTTACTGTAATTCTTTTGTGCTCATTCTTTGATTAGATGCGTGACGAACGAATATAAATGTAGCTTCTGTTTAGTTGTATCCATACTTTGTATAGTTGCCATGTAAGATTTCAGACTTGAAAAGAACTACCCTGTTTCTGAGCGGGAACAAACTTTTTTTTCTTCAAGGTACGAATATAGATGGGCTGATGGTGTACAGATCAAGAAACCTATAGAGGTTTCAGCTCCCAAATATGTTGAATACCTCATGGACTGGATTGAATCTCAGTTGGACGACGAATCCATATTTCCTCAAAGGCTTGGTACTAACTTGACTTAGCTTGTGGTTCTGCAAGTGTTTGTAAGTTGAATTCATGTTTGTAAGTTTGTTCGCTCATTTTATTCTGATGTTGCAGGTGCACCATTTCCTCCAAACTTCAAAGATGTTGTAAAGACAATATTCAAACGCCTGTTCCGTGTATATGCACATATATATCACTCTCATTTCCAGAAGATTGTGAGCCTTAAGGAGGAGGCACATCTAAACACATGTTTCAAACATTTCATTCTTTTCACCTGTGTAAGTGGACACAAACCTTGTTGAGCTTAATAACGTCCTCAACACTGTCACATTCACAAACACTTGAACTCCGGAAAAAGAACCATTTGTCTCTTCAATGCCGGCTACTGTTTATTGCTTTTATGCACATAACATAAGCATTTCAACCCTTCACTTACGCAAGCTTCAACTAATGAATGTTTCTCATCTGAAATTGCAGGAATTTGGACTGATTGATAAGAAGGAGCTGGCACCCCTTCAGGAGCTTATAGAGTCGATTATTGTCCCATACTGAAACATGTAATGCAACTTCATTTCTTAAAGCTAACTATGGTTGTGTGTGGCTTATGGAAAAACACCATGAGAGTTTTTATAGTTGTGATTTGTAATAGTGTTTCTCTTGATGTAATCTGAAAAGTTGCTCATTTTCTGTTCCATTTTGGAGCTCCTCATTTTTTCCTCTGTGAACAATGAGAAGAGCGAGTAGATTATCTTTTTTTTTTTGTGTCATCTGAGTCTAATTTAACTTTAATACCAAGGCACTGATGCTGAGATCTGTTTTCTTCTTGAATTTTCAATTAATCAGATCTATGTGAATATGAGATTGTAGTTTATTGTTATTTTATTTGTGTGTTTTTCTAAGGGTCTTCGACTGGCATAGAAACATTGAACATATTTTTATTAACTTGGTTTATTGCTACCACCTTTTTTTAAAACTTTTTAAGTTAACCTTATTGGAGGTTAGGGTCTAATTGCTGCTACCAGTGAGAAATCATTTGAAGTATTTAGAGACCAAAAAAAAAAAAAAGAAGAAGAAGAAGAAGATAGAGAAAAAGAAAAAACAACTGAAGGAAGACTCTTCTAACAAAAATCATATGGAAGTTTTGGTGGAAAATTATTTTTCCACAAAGAAACTAACTAAAACCAAAGTGATCTTTAATGTTTTTGAAAGTTCACTCGGCAATAAGACCACTCACTGTTTGGTAATAGTGGATAGAATTCGTTCGACTGATAATGTTTTTCAAAAAAATAAAAAAACGACTGATAATGAACGAATGAAATGAAAATTACTATCGTTTATTGCATAAAATGAACACTGATATAAGAGAACAAAGGGTACCAAAAGGGTAAAAAAGGATCTATGTTATCTAATATATACGCCTCCTTGTGATTGACTGAAATCCTGAAAGAATTGAGAGTAATACAAAATTGATTTACAGGGAAGATGTCCAGAGTTCATCCATCCTCAACTTCTGTGGCGTTTGAACTTCGAAGATCACTGTGACTATGTGATGACTGGATATAGCAATAAGCTCCTACAGTGGCAACTAAAACTCCAAGAACTTGAGAAAAGAGCTGAAAGTTGGCAAGCAATTCTCCCCGGACTTCACTGTCCGTCGACCGACACATGATCTTGTCTCCTTTAAGCAAACAGCCATTTGGCATCATGGACCCGTACAGTGTAAATGCAGTTTGATAGAACCAGAGGCCTTGAAGAGTTATCGCGATGCCGCAAAACAAGTCAACAGGAAAGTTGGTAGGCATGAGGGCTCCAGCAATGGTAGACAGAATGCAGAGGCCTATTAGGAGAACGAGAATGAGGTGGTAATAACCCTCGAGGCCCTGATGAGTAGTTGAATGAAAATAGAATAAGAAGTACTCGGCAGCAAAAGCAGTGGAAGCGAGCAGGCACAAAGCTCCTTCTGGCAGGGGAAGAAAGCTGAAGGAACAGAAATCATACCAGCCAGGTCAACGGGAGAAAAAAAAAAAAAAAGAAGAAACAACACAGAACAGAACTGTCGTGGAGCACTATTTTTTCATAACATGATCAGACATGTAATCGTACCAAAAAAAAAAGAAAGAAACGGAACTGAATCAGAGTTTACATGGGAATTTGGACACATTAGCTCACAAAGGCCATAGCTAGAATGAATAGAAAGAAAACTGCATATGTGTAACAGTCATCATGTTCATCTACATAACAGAACAACAAAAGCTATCTTAATGTTTTTTCAGATACAGATTCAAGATTGGGTAGGGAAACAAAGTTCATGGTAGCTAAAGAAGGAGGGTTTGGACTGTGCAAAAACCATTGTGGATAATAAATTGTTCTCAGTTTGAATCTGTGGTAGTAGCCAAACAATCTTAATTCAATTTAGTGAAAGAAAAGATCGAAGCAACAGCAAGAGCAGGAAAAGACACAGAATGAAAAATAAATGCAATACACAGAAAGAAGACATATGAGGATGCCATAAATCTTAGCTACAACAAGAAAATAGTTGAAATCGCAGACCACAAGCACAATAATTTTGGGACAGGCTTTCAGAACATCCATGTCTTAAGAGTTATTGGAGGAAAATGCAGTCTGGAAATCACACACCCTCAATCTCTCAAAGATAGTTTAGCCTTACAAACCTCGAAGACAAATTCTCAAACTAAACAAGATCAAACTTTGACAAGAAAACATAGCTTGCAATCCAAAGTTACAGTCTACTTGATAATGAAAGTTACTTCATCGAATATTAAAGGTGAGAAGGTCCTGAGGTCAAAGATTTTGTTTACTGCTAAACAAACTAAACACTAACATATATGTGCCAAAAAGGAACTTAAAAAAATTCAGCTTTACGAGGGCATGTGTGCATCATTCATCTTTATATTTAACCAAAATGATGTTGCAACAAGATCTGAAATTCACCTCAAACTTGGACATTTTGGTTCAGCACAGCTTAACATATGGGATAATTGGAGTCAGATGAGCAAGTACCTTCGACGAAATAAGTTGCTAGGCCAAAGGTAACTAAATTCTTGTTAATTTATAGAATTGACAGACTTGTAAGTTGCTGGATGAAATCAAACATCCCCCAAGATCCATTAGTAGCTAGAGAGGATGTGGAATACCATACACGATAAGCCATCAGTTATAGAACTTAAAAGTTAAATAATTGTTTCAGAAAGTGGCCTCCATGAAACAAAATGATGGCAATCCACTCCTAAGCACAGCAGCAGACAATTTTTTACTAAACCACAGACCTCGCATTCAGCAGTCAAAGCACTAATGATTGACTAAAATGAACCACATATCATGAACCTTCACGCAGAAAAAAATAAATTCAAGTGCAAAACAGTAGCTTCAACTTTTGTAAATCATTACTCATATGATTAAGCCAGATTAAAGCAGGCAAACTTAGATCATATGCACAATCATGAATTTATAATAGAAATGGAAGGGAGTAACACTACAAAGAAAGACTCACCTGGTTTTTTCTGAAAGCAGTGCGATCAAGCCAAAAATGAAAAACATGAGAAGCATTCCACCATGCTCAAAATTATTCATGTGAGTGGGGTTCAACACTCCATTAACAAACCACTTGAGATGAGTTGAATAGAGAAGCTCTATACACATGTCAATGAAGGATCCAATGGTTATAACATAGAGCTCCAAGTACTGCAGTTTCCCATTAAATCCTGGAACCGGATTCCACACCCTAACTCTAAAAGACTTGGGATTCGAGACAAATCTTACTAACGAACACCATGTGTGCCAAATCCCAACAAAAAGAAACAATGTTCCTGGAAGAACATGCCCAGGAAATGAACCCATATTTTGCTGTAACACAAAATGAACAAAGGTCCTTCCTTCTTACTGTTCTGCTATCTTTTCTTTGCCTACTCCAAAAAGGCAACAAGAATTCAACCTCCTAACTTGAAACTTCCAAAACCAAAGAGACCTCCTTGAATAACCAGTATGACTCTAATTTCCTTAAAGAACAAGCTGACAAGACCAGGACAAATCCCCTTTAATCAGATATGCCCTATATCTTTCCAACTATAAATTCCTAATTAATGCCTCCGAATCAGATACAGCTAAAAGCAACTCAAATGGTACTTTTCAAAACCTACGGCTGGAAAGAGAAACCCAAAAGAACCGGCAAAGAAGTCTCTCCTTGTTATTCAGTTGTCCACGGTTACCGTCTTGGAATCCAAGAAATACCTGTTGCAAAAAACCAGGAAGAAATCCATATAGTTAAAAAAAAATTTCACACGAAGCTATTAAACTATAACATACTTCTGTCCAAGAGATTTGTCTCAGTTCAAACTTTGCATACTTTTCCAAACTTAAAATCTTGAATACAAAACAAGGTCAACGATGAACATCAAAAGAACTTACATATATTCCAATTCTCATATAATTACACCGTGAAAATTTCCTACCAGTCAAAAACGGTTGCCATAAAACAAACCCATCCAAACAATTCCCACTATCAAACAACAAGTCAACGTTGCATAAGAAAGCACAGATCATGGCTGCAATTCAAAGTTAAAAAAAGCAAATCAAACAAACAACACTAACCCTTTAATTAAAAATTTCCAAGGAACTACAATGAAACAACATCAACCCAAAAAAAAAAAAAAGGCGCAATCTTTGAGGTTTTTAAAATTTATATTCCGAAGAAGAAACGGTGGTCAGAGCGTAAACTTACATGTGACCCACTATTCAGCAATACACATGCATGTGATTGAGAGATTATGCTGATGATGTTAATGTTGTAATTGTGAGATGATTATCCATCATCATGAACAACCAAAAAAGAAAAGGCAAAATCCAAGTCCAAATCCAAGAAAAGCAAGCAGAGAAAAGTTGGGCTCTACCCGGATAATGTTTAACTACAGAGCTTTTTTATATATGGTTATTATGGGGCTAAAGGTAGAAACTTTTTGTGCTTTTTTTCGATATGGGATGATGGAAAAAGCGAAGTGGGGATCGGCGAAAAGATTAATGATGACTTTTCTGATATGGAAAAAGTAAAAACAGAAAAGAAAAAACAAAGAAGGAAAGATGTGAAAAAACTAACCAATAATAAAGGATTAAAATTGGGAGGTGGGCAATGGGGGACATTTAATACTATACAGTAATAAATAAATGCATGATTGGATATATGTGTTTGTTCGTGCGTGACATAGAATTTCACATTTTCTGGAATAGGTAGACTGTCCAAACACATACTTATATCCAACTAATCATGATTGGACATTTAATAATAAACGCACGAATACTAACTAATATTAACTGTCCAACTAATTCGGATTCGTGTCGAGTTTAATTTATTTCTTATATTATTTTCCATAAATATTTCAATCATTAGCCTATGTTCATGTCCCAATTAATCTTCTTTCCCGATTATGTAATAAAAACTGGACTAAAACCCTTTAGTACGTAATTGCAAATCATATTACAGTTTCTAGATAGTCTTACGTTTGTTTATTTGTTTGCAACTCTTTTTTATGTCATTCTTTTTTTGTCCTTTTGATTGAAATTTATGGTGAGAGGCTCCAGCTAGCTTCACCACGTTCCGCCAGCAAAGCAGTAGATCAAGGAAGACGGCAAAAAAATTCAAAGCTGCATGCATTGGTGGACATGGAAACATGTGCATTTGCGATTCGCACACTCAGTGTCATAATTTTTATTTTAACTTTTCGAAGATAAATATTGTACTATCATAATTAAATTATTTTGGTGTTTTATGCGTTCTTAGTTCTTACTTCTTTGATTATTTACTTTCTCTTTTTGAAAAATTATATTCAAAATCTGAAGAATTTTACAATTCTTTTCTTCGGCGATGTTATTATAGATCACAAAAACCATTAATTTGAGAATTAAATGGAAAGAAGAGAAGAATAAAAATTCCCCAATCTAGCTATAATTACCATTCTCTCCATTATAAAATAATTTTTGTTTCAGTAAAATGAAAAAATTATAAAATAATAAGTACACTATTATTATTCCAATGCAAATTTTGTTAAAATTTTTTAAAATTACCCTCAAAAGAAATAGTATTAATTACAACTATTTATTTTAATGAAATAGGCAAAGCATATTCTAATAATTTACTTATCCTATTTTAAGTCATACCCAACAGCAGCACCACTTTGGTGCACACCAAGTCACAGTAATTTATACCCCAACCATCAATACTAAACTCTACACCCAAAAAGGAATATTTCTCAAATTTTTACTTATCCTTCTTTTTTATTCATTTTATTATTAAATTAATTGTCTTAAATTAAATGTGGTTAGTGTTTTCTTTTATTAATATCTCATGTCTACTTTTCTATTTATGTTATGTATTTTTTCATGGTTATATATTAAATATTAAATACACACATGAGATCATTTGAATAAGTTAAATTGGACTTATGAATTTAATAACTTTAATAATAATATACAAAATCATTTGAATAAGTTAAATTGGACTTATGAATTTAATAACTTTAATAATAATATACAAAATAGTTATAAATTACATATCACTTAATTTAGGAGTGTTTTTATAAAATACATAAACTAATTAAACGTCCAAAATACAATAAAAAAATCATGGTACTACATGAACAATAGGTAGCCAAATCTGGATACTGTTCATGAAACACCAATTTGGTGCATGAACAACATTATAATGCATGGTTGGCGTTGCATTTTGTGCCCAAATCACTAAATTGGTGATTTGGTGTCATCCACCGCCATCCCAAGGGCAACACCAATTTGGTGTACACCAAATCACCAGTTTGGTATTTTGGTGAGTATTACAGTTTTGAAGTCTAACCATCAACACAAATTTCACACCCAAATCACCAATTCTTCTTTATCCTTCTTTTTTTTTAAAATTAAGTTTATTAAATTACAAAAAAAATCCATTTTTATTCATATTTCGTACATAGCCAAAATATTTGTATCTAGTTTACCCAAATAAAAAATTATAATAAATTAAATTTGAGAAAACATATTTCATTAGACTATAATTAAAATAACATTTTCTTATACAAATGAAAATATACACACTTGTAATGACAATATAAATTTAAGAGACAAACTTAAAAAAAAAAAAAAAAATTCATTCCAACCATATGTCTAATACATTAATTCCCATAATGATGCTCCTTGCCCACAAATGAGCTATCAGTGCATTCCTTAATTTATATTGTGTATCCATGTTCCAATCTATTTATATCGAGCAATAAATTCTTGAAATTGAGCATATTCCCTTGGTACCCGAACTACATTTGCCTCCAGAACCACTCGTCCTTCTGTAATTGATTCATTGAGATCGGATACATCTTCCACTATCATATTGTGCATGATAATACAGACGGTCATAATATCATGAAACACTTCTTTATCCAAAAAAACGAATTGAAATTCCAACAATTGCAAGTTGAGATTGAAGAATACCGAATGCACGCTCCACATCTTTTCTACATGGTACTTATTTTTCAACAAAATATTTTGTCATATTGGTATTTGGGTTTTGAAGTGTTTGTACAATAGTCGACCACTTTGGATAAATACCATCACATTATACTCTTTTCTTTGGATAATATAATTAGCCGGAGGTGCAATACTTTGAGCAAGATTAATAAATAAATGCGATGATTCTAAAATATTATTGTCATTCTTTGTACCTGGCATCCCCCCCAAAAAAAATGTCAAATCTATAGATTATAATTGGCTATAGCTTCAAGAATAATGGTTGGTGATCGCATACGTCTAGCGTATTGTCCTGCGGTGACTCTTGGAATATTTTTCCACTTCCAACGCTTACAATTGAGACTACCCAACATACCAAGAAAACCATGTTGCTCACCCATATAAAGTAATCCAGTAATGTCATTACTTGTTGGTGATTTAAGGTACCGCTCTGTGAAAATCTTGACAATAGTACGACAAAACTTCTTACAACATTCATCTGCAGATCTGCAGATGAACCGAATGCTAATATTCAGATAGCTATAGTTGTTTTCTGTAGACTCGAAAATCTAAATTTATAAGTTGCGTCAATTAGTTGTTAAAAATAATTAGCATGATTTAACAGTAACTACAATACAAACAAATAAATCTCGACACATACGACACCGTCGCCAAAACTTATACCAAGGGTATTGTGGATGCTCAAAGAGATAATTGTCGACCAGCCTACGATGTGCAGATTCACAACCAGCATAAAATATTTTTTTTAAAATATATGTCTTGTCCATAAATTTTGACTATAGTACTAAAATTAGTGGTACAAAAACCGATGGAAAAAATTGACCAATTTATCCTAAGATTTACATGCGTTGTCAATGTTACCATATTCCTTTTTGGTTAGATATTATTACCTTAATCTATCTAAACGTCAGCCGATTTTGTCCAATTTTCCGAAGTCCATTTAACTTAACGGAATTCGGTTAGTTTTAATTATAAGAATATCCTAATAGTTTTAAAAATTATAAAAATAACCCCAAAATTTATAAAAATTACAAAATAATTTTTTTTCACTTTTTATTAATTTTTTCTATTTTCTATTTTTTTTTATTGTTTTTCATAACTATAAAATATACAGTATGATCTTTTAAAGAAAATATTTATTTTTAAACTCTACTATACAAATTTATGGTTACATATTTGTAATTCATGGTTGATTTACACAAACATATTAATTTTTTTTAATAATATGATTTAATAGTAATGATACTATTTTTTTAATTTGTTTTCTCTTCCTAATTTTTACAAAAAAGTAAAATATCTAGCTTAGATTATAAAATGATTTATTGGTATATTTTAGCGTATTACAATTTAACTCAACATACTATAAATTGTATTATACAATTCAAAAAATAATAACTAAACTAAAATACAAATTTTCTTTAAAAGCAACGTACGGACAGACAGTAAAAAAAAACCCCCTTATTTTGTTTGTACATTGACCCCACATAAGAATATAGTGTTGTGGCATTACCAAAAATGGTACAAAATATTTTATAAAAAATATGTATATTTATCATTGCGAGGATTTGACATTTTGTAAAAAAGTTTTGAGATATTGATATATCTCACTTTAGTAGGAAGTCTTTTTTTTTAAAAAATATATATATACTCCAGTACTCAACTCCACTTTTCTTTTTTTAAAAATAAATAAATGGACCCAGTGAGTATCAAAATCTCGAACTCCTAATAATAATCATCTTCCATCTTAAATATTCTAACCATCTAACCCAATCCTCTCACCTTCCGTGGACCCTACTTTAATGCAGGTAAAACCCCTCTCTCAGTTAGAAATCCTTTGATAAGAATTAATCTTATAACTACTCTCATGAACCTCAACACCCTAAACACTATACTGTTACCTCAATTCCCACTATAGCAGGAAGACTTATAATTTTATTTAAAAATAAATAAATGAAGACAACAAATATGATGGTGATAAGTTATTGTGATAGAGGATAGGTGTTTGGATTAGAGAAGAAAAAATTATGTTTGGATAATTTTTTTAAGCTTTTAATTATTTAATATTTTTTGAATGATATTAATACGATTTATAGTCTATTGAGTTAAATTATATTCCCTTCATCCTAAAAAAATAATTAAACTAAAATTTTACAATTTGCGTAATTAAAATATAAAAATAAACTATAGATTTTCATAAGAATAAGAATATTTAACTTTATATTTTAGTTTAATTTATTTAAATTTAATAATACTATCTACAATATGTTTATGTTTATGTAAATCATCTATGAATTATATATATGTAATTATAAATTTGTACACTAGAGTTTAAAAATAGATAGATTCTTTAAAATACCATATAATATATTTTTATAGTTATGAAAAAAAATAAAATGAAATAGAAAACAGAAAAAATTAAATAATAAGTGAGAAGAGACTATTTTATTATTTTTATGATTTTGGGATCATTTTTGGAATTTTTTTTTATAATTAAAACTAACTGAATTCCGTTAAGTTAAACGGAAGTTGGGAAATTGAACATAATCGGCTAACGGTTGAATAGGTTAGGGTAATAGTATTAGCTAGTCGAAAAATAATAGGACAACACTGACAATACTTGTAAAACTTTGGACTAATTGACCCATTTTTCCAAAACCAATGTACATGAAGAAAGATAAAAAGGAAAGATAAGTTCATATTTTATTTTATTTATTTATTTTTTTTGGTTTTTTTTTTCTAGTTAACTTTAAGATGGCTAACTCCCAAAATATGCATGCATTCAGAAATGTTTAAATTCATTTGGACTAGAGTGAAAGTATGCTTCTGTAGAAGAGAAAAAGGAGTGTCGTTTTCAGATTTTTATTTTTATTTTATTGAGAACTTTAAGATAGCTAACTTCCAAAATATGTAAGCATCCTAGAAATAGTTAAAAAAAAGAATAGTATGTTCAGATTATTTATTTATTTTTAACTGAGAACTTTAAGATGACTAAAAGGAAGTAGCATCATAAGGTGTTTTCCTAATTTCATTAATTAATTCAATAGATTTAAGTGACTAATATTATCAAACATAGTCACTCAGATTTCAGAAGCATACGTTAGGGGTGTTCAAGCTATTTCCAACAAATCGAGGGGTGTTTTAGATTATAAACTCAACCCGAGGGCTTTTTTGATATTCGCCCATATATCTTTGAGCCGCTCTGTTTTCATTTAACTGCCTCTTTTCGACTTGGAGGCTGGAGCTTCCCGAGCCGATCTCGATCTGACTAACAATTGCTGTCGCTGATGAAAGCTGAGCCCTTTTGTTCCGACAAAGTAATTCCGGTAGCCGCTGTACTGTAGCATCCCCGACCGTTGGCCGGAATCCCAATCTTAAATCAATCTCTTCCTCTTGTCGTCCGCCGATTCTTTTCAAGCCAAAAGCAAGCCTGCTTCTCCTGGTATAGTTTTTGTATTCTTCTCTCACCTCAATGTCTCCCTCACACACACACACACACACACTAGATTCCAATTGCTGCAATTTTAAGTTCCTGACTGTGGCTTTTCAAATGTAGGTAAAATCACTCAAAAATGCACACTGATATGCAACAGATTAAGTTGTGTAACTGCGTTCAATGTGTAACTTTTTTTTTTTTTTTTTTCCAGGCTGAAAAAATGGAGGCTGACGGGGGAGGTCTACGGCAAGGGCAAGAGCAAGAGCGGTGGTGTGTGGTTACCGGAGGGAGAGGATTTGCGGCTAGGCATTTGGTGGAAATGCTGATCAAATACAATATGTATCATGTTCGTATTGCGGATTTAGGACCTGCAATCAAGCTCGAACCTTACGAAGAGAATGGAACTCTTGGCGATGCATTGAAATCTGGCCGTGCTTCTTATGTTTCCGCTGACCTTCGAGATAAGTCTCAGGTACTTAAAGGTAAGCATTCCATCACGATTCTTTGTTTTATTTTACTACTTATAAGTTATGTGTGTGTATCTTTTAAGTTAGCATTTGGTTACAATACTGTCATTGATGCCAAAATTATTCATCATTTATAGTTAGACTTCGCAACTAAGAAAAAAGAGAGAAAGATGTAAAAAATTGACTAATTATTGGAGTAATTAGAATTTATAGCCAGTACGCAAATAGTTACTTTTGTTGGTTTTGATTCTTGTTTAAAATTTTTGAAAATTATTGTAGAGATGTCAAACACTGCTTTGACAGTGTAAAAACCAGATACTGGAAGATGAATATGAGGATGAAAAGTGAGAAATGAGATCCGTTGGAAGGCACCTGAATTCTAATATTTTGGCTTGTGCTTCATTAAAATGTATATTTCATCGTCACTTTAACATCATGGATTGAATAGGTAGTTTTGAGTAATACACGGATGGAATGTTCTTTTGGACCTAAAGCCATGCTTTTGATTCTAGCATTTATGTTTACTTTTTAACCTACTGATAATAATATTGAATTTAAGAACAGTAAAGAAACTAACAATGCTATCATAAAGTACCTTATGGACTTTGTCGTAGCATAGAAAGTTGCATATAAAGTTTCGTTTCTTGCAGCCGGATTTTGTAGAAAAATTTTGGCCAGTTTGGCATTTTGTTTTGAGAGGTCTCTTAGAAGCATCGCATGCTTTTTATCTCCAGTTAGTTTCATCTTTAATTGGGGATGATGTATGCCATTTATGGAGATTTGGTACTTCTTATGAGCAGAAAAGGGTTTAAAATGTGATTGAATGCATGAGCACCCCTCCTTTAGAAATATAATAATGAAATCAATTTCCGAAGTTTTCAGCTTTTTGTTTCTAAGGGATGATTAGGTATAAAGTAAATTATTAGACGTTCATACAGCTTAGCAATCATTATATAAGAGCAGTTGCAGTGGTATTAGCCTCTGTATTTTCAGTCGACTGTTATTTTTAAATGGATGGGGAACTACCTTTTTCTTTTTTTAGTTTTAGGTTGAAACGTTTAAAAAATATATGAGCTTATACATATGAAGTCGAAATTGAGGCAAACATTAGTGTCCATAGAAGTGATTGGAAAGTGGCTTTCTTCTTTGCTTATCAGAACATTTTAAGGCATCTTAAAGGTTTTCTCCTCCAGGTTTTCATGGAAAAGTATCTGAATGTTTTTTCTTTTTGTCCTTTTATTTATTTATTTATTTTTTAACAAACGTCGAGTTCTAAAGGTGTTTACTAGTGGTTGTTATCCTTGCATGAAACTGATATAGGTACTCATAAAAAGTATTTATATTTATATTACACTTGATTGAGGGAATTCCTGTTCTAGACAAATTAGCTTATCGTTGCAGAGTTTTTCTGAGGTTAGAGAACTTTCTGATTGGACTCTTTCATTTTGAAGCTTTTCATGGAGCGGAGGTAGTTTTTCACATGGCTGCTCCAGATTCGTCAATCAACAACCACCAGCTTCATTATTCTGTTAATGTGCTAGGTAAATATCTAAGCTATAACTCCCAACAAGCAAAGAATTTTGCCTTCGTTTTTGCCTCTGCCTTTTTTGTGGTTCACATGTATCGTTGGTTTCAACTAGTTTGTCAGAGTTTTGCTTCTTGCCGATGTCCTTGCAGGAACAAAGAATGTCATTGATGCATGTGTCGAGTTAAAAGTAAAAAGACTTATATGTACAAGCTCACCAAGCGTGGTATTTGATGGAATTCATGGAATCTATAATGGGGAGGAAACGTTGCCTTATCCTGCCAAGGTATTCAACATTTTAAACTGAATTGAACTGGCAGTCACTTGGGCATGTGGTAGACAATATTATGAAATCTTCTCGAAGTCACAATCGCCCTTTATTTTATTCTTCTTAGATACCCATAGATGGTGAATATATCAGTCCTTTGTTGCCACGTTTTGCAACCATCCCACTGTTTATCTGTTAAATCTTGATGACGTGAACTAATCTGTTGCATGTAGTGATCCTGCGGCAGGACTAAAATTTTGCACTGGCCCCTGGATTTACTAAAATTTTCTAACATTTTACTGAAAAATTGAAATGTAAACTCTTAAATTATTTTCATTTGCTTTTTTCTGATTGGCTAATTTAGGAACCCCCGGTTCAGAATTTTAAATTTACGTTGTGCATTTGTTCTCCTCCAAAAAGAAGTAAACATTAGTTCAGCATATATCAAAAAAAAAAAAAAGGATCAAAGAAGTTTCGGCAAACAATCTCTTCATGTTATAAGCCTCATTTTTTATTGCTGTACTTGTGCCCTTCTCCTACTAATATGCATGTATCTGTTCCAGAGGGACCAAAGATGAGAGCCTTGAGTCTTTTTCCCCTTGACAACTTGTTTTCATTTCCCCTATATTCTGGTTTCCATGAAACGACAAGGATGTATAATGAAAAGTCTGGTACCCCCAACAAGAATCTGGTATTGTTCTGGGAGCCATCACCTATTACATTGACTGGTTATAGCAATCTCAATTCCAGTGAAACTCTAAAACAGATTATGTAGAAGTCTAAAATTTGGGAGGGGTAGCTGTTACTATCTGTCATTTTGCAAATCTTTCAGGATTTTTGAGTCTTGATCAGAATGGATTAGGTGCTTCCAAACATTCTAAAAAATTTTTCTGGGTCACTGGTCTAGTGAGCTGCAAGGGAGCCTGATCAGCCATACTCTTAAAAGTTGATTAACTTTGCCACAAAATTGTGATAGTTTTCAAAGGCGGTTAGTGTTTTTATTCCAACTTTGGCAAGAAACTACAATCTGGGATGTCCGTCCATCAGTTTGCGGTATGAATCAATTTTCACATACAAGTCTGGAGAACAAGAGTTAGTCTTAGAGGGGAATTTGTCACGCACTAACTTTATTAATGAAGTAAATAGTAGGAGATAGTAACTGTGTTGTTTTATTAGGGAATAGTCTTGTTAGTAATTTATCATAAAAGTAGTACAAGTCTCCATTGTAATACATATATTTTTCATGGATGAAAAGCTCTTGTTTCTTCTCCATTTGTCTCTCCCGCTTCTTTTTTTTTTTTTTTCCCTCTATTCTTTTCTTCCTCATATTTGAGATCTGAACTCCCTCCCTAATCTTCCCTTTCTGCTTTTCTTCTCAAAATACTTTCATTAAACTCTTCATAAGTGTTACATTTTACACTCTCTCCTCCATACTTTGTAACCAATGAAAAAGTACATATTGGATTTCAGTAACAACATTAACTGCAACAATAGCAAGCTTTTTTCCCACAACATGGGGTCAACAATGGAGAAATGCGTCCACTATACCTTGTACTCCAAAGTGGTGTTGAAATGGAAAATTTGTTTATAAAGGACATGAGGCCGCTGTTGCTTTGTGGATTGGAGTGCTGGGCCATTAAATATTGAGACATCAAAATATGATTTTAGTAGAAATGAGAATGTTGAGATGGACGAGCAGCTATGCTAGATAGATAGGATTAAACATTGGTAATGAAGCTGAAAAATCAGAGTTGGGAGCATACTGGGTATGTTGTTGTTGTTGTAATGAAACTGAAGAAAATGGGACACATTGATGGATGAGAAAAATAGGACAATCACGCTTCAGATGGTTCGGACATGTGCTTGGTAGGCCATTTAAGTGCTCTATTAAAACTGGAACAGGGGAACCAATAACTCTAATTGAAAATGGAATTGAAAGAGGGAAGATCTAAAAATTATGGGAAAGAAACTATAACAAATAGCATGACTTATTCGGTGTGAAATGCAACTGTTGTTTGAAGAAGTGAAATGCAGCTGTGTTTCGATAGAGCATGATGAATGTGATCGATAAAACTCACCTTACATGCTTAAGATGTAGACGGGTTTTTTCTTTTCCCGGGCCCTCTTAAGATATAGAGGGGTTTTGTAGTGAGATTAGTTGTTATTGTAGGTGCTATGTATGGTTGTCAATATTTATTTTTGCAGTCATAAAACATGAAAAAATGAATATATCTTGCGACCTCAGGTCATGATGACACCTCTTGATTGCTGAAGCTTTGATGAATAAATGTCATTGTTTTGCTCTTTACTTCAATGGTTCTTGTTTTCGACATCTCATCTTTGTTGATTATTATTATTTTCTTTTTTTCTTATTTATATCAGCATTGCTTGCTGAAGTGTTTACTCATGTATTGTATGCATCAGACTAATATGTTTTCCTACCATTTAGCATAATGATTCGTATTCTGCAACCAAAGCAGAAGGGGAAGCTCTGGCTCTCAAGTCAAATGGCACTAATGGCCTTCTAATATGTTGCATTAGACCGAGCAGTATTTTTGGCCCTGGTGATAGATTGCTTGTTCCTTCGTTAGTTGCCGCGGCCAAGGCTGGTAAAATGAAGGTAGTTAGGTGATTCTTCACTTTATTAGACTTGGTTCATCAATTGTAGAAACTTTGATTGATATTGTTACCTAGGAAACCAATTATATTCTGTACTTAATTAGTTGCTTGTCTCACATATGGGTTCTTAGCATTACTCTGTTCTTCTAACTTGTCCATATGCATGCCACTTTTATCTCAATGTCTTCTTGTGAATTATTTCTTTTAGTTCTATATTTGGATAAATGTTGACTTTGATATTTTGTTCTTCAAATGTGTAAAATAGTTCATAATCGGTGATGGCAACAACCAGTACGATTTTACCTACGTTGAAAATGTAGCACATGCTCATATATGTGCTGAACGAGCACTGGCTTCTGGAGGAGCTGTTGCAGAAAAAGCTGCTGGACAGGTAGTATTGTATGTTCTTGGATTGAATCTGTTGTTAGACACTTTCCTCTGGGTTTGAGCCACTTAATGCGTGTTTGATAAAAAAAAAATAGTGCGTAATTCAGAATGCTGAATCCTGAATAATAAATACTGATTATAAGGATTTGAATAATAATTAAAAAAAAAAACTAGCCACTAAAACAAAGATAGCTAGCTATTAATTAAAATTAGTTGTAAGTATAAGCTATTGCAAGAATACAATGTCTCCAGACTTTAGCAAGAGATGCTAACTGGGTAGCAAGAACAGAATTAAAAACATAAAAACTTAGTTTTAAAATGAGTGAGCATATTTTATCAAGAAAGTAATATGATTAGGGCCTATGCTCTTTCAGTTGATATGTAACTAAACTACATAAGCTCCAAATCAAGTATGTACAAGCTCCAAGATGAAAACACAGGATATTATATGACCAAGTAGTAGCCTATACTGGGATTTAAATAATTTGATATCTTAAGTGGAAAAGTATATTTATTGCTGAAAAGTTTGAATTGAAAATAGTCAACATTTCAGAAGGGGTGAGACAAAACATGCATTTGTAATCTAGACCTTACAAGCTAAGAATATATTGACCTGCATAAGATAGGCTAAAAGCCATAAGTGAAAGTTGAGAAACGTTGTAATCTCTATTTCTTGAAAATAATAAAGATTAGAATATCTGGCTTAGCTTAAGGCTTCACATGAAAACACTATCATTGATGCAATTGCAAGGAGAGAACTACATGTAGGACTAACAATTATATAGATAAAATAAAATATTTCAATCAGAACATTGATTATGATATGCATGCATGAATCACGATATAATTGTGATTCATATAGATGGATAGCCATATTATCTGAAAGCATGAAAATACAGTTAGCTTTTGGCTAAGATGAATAATTAGAAATCACCCCTGGTTTGTGGTACGAAGCTTTTGTTGGAGTATGAAGGGTGAACTTTCATGCTTATTTTTTGTACTGCAGTTTTAAGCATCACTTATTACATTAAAAGTTCACCTTTTGGCTATCAAAATTGCTGAAATAAAAATCTCTTAATCAGATATTTAAGCTTAAGAAGTGTTATCGAACAATGCCTCCGTCTATACGATCTTTACTCCTTTGAATTGCTTTGCCTATCGGGATTGATACATGACCTGCTACCTTTTTTTTTGAAATATGCTGAAGGGGGCTCGTTTAGTTGTTACATGTACTAGCCTGTTTCGAAGTGGTCGCTGGTGTTTCTCTAGCCAGAGCAGTTACTCGCAGTTCAAACTCAATGTATCGTATACAAGCGTTTGTTGACTATTCTTTGATGGCTTTTTAAGAACAGAAACCCACTGTATTGAGGGTGCACTTGTGGATGTGAACAAGAGACAATTGAGTCTCGAGATTGCTTTCACTATTCCTTTATGCTAATGCTTAGAACTAAGTCAGAAAATTTTGGTTATGTTCCCATCGTTCATGAAAGTAGGGTAACCAGAGAGGGATTCACTTCCCATCGTTCATGAACATTGACAGACAACCTTGTGGCCATACTGTTTTTGCAGGCATTTTTCATTACTAACATGGAGCCTATCAAATTTTGGGAGTTTATATCGCTAATACTTGAAGGCCTCGGTTACAAGAGGTAGTCACCTTTTGATGTTTCTTTTAGTCGCGGTTGATGTTTCTTTTCAATTTTAAGATCAGATCGATCTACTTTGAGCTTTCTAATTAAGTTGTATAGGTTGATCACTGAGCTTATGTTGGTACTACGTGGCTCTCACTGCTAATTGGGATCCTTTTTCATGACAGAAAGTTAGATTCACAGGAAATCTGGCAGCTCGATGGTTGAACTATTTCTGTGTTTGAAGTATACCATCTTTATTTCTGATCTTGTGTAGTATGCAGGCCAACAGTCAAAATACCTGTCTTTGTGGTGATGCCAATTGCGCACATGGTCGAGCTGATATATAAGATACTGGCTCCATATGGGATGAAGGTTCCACAGTTTACACCTTCAAGAATCAGGCTTCTGTCATGCACTAGAACATTTAACAGTTCAAAGGCAAATGATTGTCTTGGCTACACACCAATTGTCTCATTACAGGTTATCTACATTTCTACTAGTGTTTTTTTCATTTGTGAAGATTGTACAACATGTAGATTTGCATAATCAACTCCTAGCCCCAATTAGAAGTGCTAGAATTTTTAACTTTTGCTTATTATTATTATTATGATTACTATTACTATTTTGGCAAATAACCATTGTTCTGATTATTGTCAATTGTAAATTAATTGCTTACATGAAAGAATTGCCTTTGAATGATCTACAAACGAACCTCATTTTCGATGGTTCTGATTTTGTAAATGGTAATTTGTTCAACAACAAGAAGCAGCCCTGTATGTGGGTTCACATTATGAACTTGTAATCCTACCGAGATCTGCAGGGACTTGTTTGTTTTTCTTCTTTCTTTTTCAATTCTTGTTCTTGGGGTTCTTTTTTCTTGGTGGGTTTTGGGGGAGTGGATTGGGGGTGTTTGAATGTCTGTATATCGTTGTAATTGTATATATGTATTACAGTGATTACATTGAAAAATTGGCTGTGTCTATTGCCCCACTGTGTGCTTGTATTTATTATCAGAGAGATTGATGAATGGTTCTGTTTATAATCCCCTCTTACTTAGAAAATGCAGTCTTAACCGACATTGATCTTTGAAAGTTTTGTAATGAATGTAGTACTGTGCAGGAGGGTATCAAGCGGACAATTGAATCATACCCAGACTTGAGGGCTGAAGTTCAAACCAAAAAGGATGGATCCTCCAAGGCGTCGAGATTCCTCGGGAGTGGAATGGGTATTGATTATTATTTGGATCTTTGTTTTTGGGTTTTTTTTTTTTTTACTTTTAATTTTTTATTTCCATGTTTTTTTAAAAGAATACATGACATGCCATCAAGGTTTTCCAGTTTTATATCTTTTGTCTCTTTTAATTATTATTGTTTTCCATGCTCAGCTTTTATGATCAATGAGTTAGAAAGGAGCATAGACCTAAAAAGACTTGGAAAGTGACTATCAAGACTGCCTTGAAATTTGAATGAAGACATACATATTGAGCACGATGGAGACACATGATCCATATAGCCAACCCCACATAATGTGAAAAGGGCTTGTTGTATATCACATCTTATATGGAACAGTACTGGAATAGACTCCCCTGGTTATAAAAAATATTAACTATCTCTTTAGTATAAAATTTTTTGAAGTATCACAAATTATATTTATTAGTTCTTCGTGACAGAATGCGTAATACAAAGGATTTATGATTGGGAGTCAAAATTTGACTGCAGGACTATAAATGGTAACGCAACTGGTTTGATATGATCAGATGGTTCATTTAAAAAATGATGAACAGCGATGTAGAGGTCTTGCGCATGTTTGAATGGTCTATAGTGATAATGAAGTGTTTGTATTGTGATACAGGGGAATCTGGAAGTATGATATGTCATGCCCTCGGCCGTAACTAGTTGTAGTCCATGTGACAAATAGTTGTAGTCCATGTAACTTTGTCAGGATCATTACGATGTGCTTTCGTCTAAGCTGTTTTCTCCTTGTTGCTTGTTTTTCCTTAATCACTATGATTCTTTGACCTGTTGGAACTTAATTTGAACCTGGCAAAAGTTCGGGAACGTTATGAAAGTTAAAAGCATGTCCTGGTGAATCTAACATGAAATAGCATGCTTACAGTGGGGTTTTGGTGCATGTATGCAGAATGATACAATGCTGTAAACAATGCAACTGATAATCTGAATGCAATTAAAGGATAGTACTAAAACTGATGAATCTATATTTTACAGTTGCAGACACCCTTCTTTGGAGAGATAAAAAGAAAACGGTGATAGCATTGCTGGTTATAGCTGCAATGTACTTCAATTTCATAGCATCTGGATACACGATGATAACTGCAGTTTCCAGGCTTGTCTTGGCAGCTGTTGTTTTCATCTTCATCAACGGGAGGTTACCAGAGAGATTGTAAGCAAGCTTTATCTTGGTAGAAAACATTGTAGTTTTTGTGCATAGGAAGGTGCTTACTTTGGCTGTATTTTGGTTTAGGCTGGGCTATCGACTTGAAAGAATACCTGAGTCCAAGTTCCACATCTCACAAGAGGCTTCACACCAAGTTGCTCAATCAATTGCCTCCAGGTGGAATGCTATCATGATTGACTTGAAATCTCTTTGCAGAGGAAATGATTGGATGCTCTTCCTGAAGGTGATTGCCTCATGCTTCTGTTTTCCTATGTCCATGCTGTAAAGTTCTTAGATTTGATCACAGTGATACATCTGCCTTGATAACTTGGTTGAATTTGGTGATTCGGTTCAGATTGGTGGAGAACTGATTATTTCATATTTAATTGCCTGCAGTAGTCTTGTTCAATTCAGTCGATTTGGCTTGTATTTCTGTGCCGTTCTCTTTGGTAAAATCAAATAGAAGAATATGATATAATTGAAAAGTGTTAATGGGAAGGAGGTTGTGTATAATCGTGGTTTCTATCATTGTGTCATTCAGCCAATCGTTATGGAACATTTATTTCCATATTAGCCAATAAGTACTTGAGACAACTATGCTGGATATCTTTTTGATCATCATCTCACTAATCTTCCAAACTGTGGCCAAAATTTAGTGACCAAAAATTTTAAAAAATAAAATAATATATATATATATATATATATATATATATAATTGCCATGTGTCTGTATGGTTTTCTTACATGATATCAGTTACTAATAGCTTCTCTATATTGGTGTGATCTATGTGAATGGGTATCTTCCTCTATTTTATATCTGATGTCTTTAGACTATACAATGTCTCTCTGATATGTTGTTGACTTTTTATAGTTTTACATAATTTTACAAGACTATGATTTTTTTTTCTAACTTTGGTAGAAGTCAAGTTTGTACCTATTGCAGTTAAATGGAGGAAGGCAGCCGTTCCTTTTTTCAAATTGTTAAATAATTATTGTGTGATCTTCACACTTGAGCATTATTTCTATACTAGTGTGAGCAATTTTATAAGTTGCCTTGGAGATTCTCCGTTTTATTTCTCTTACTTACAGAACAGGACGTACTAGTAGGGGGCCAGGGGTTTGAATGGGCTCTTAAAAATCAACTCAGCTACTTAAAAAAACTTTTAAAAGGTAGTCTCGATTGCTACCTTGGGAAATCTTAGTTTGGAACTGGTTGTTTGACTTAATTGCCCTTGTGATCATATTCAGTTGTAGAGTCAGCCATTGGTTTGTTCATAAACTTCTGCGAAAGAATTTTTAGAATGTGGAAAAACTCCGTTGCAACTAGTCCTTTAAATTTTCTTAAGCTGATATTGTACGTAGATCACTTCTTGAAAGTCATAAGTGTAGCAATAGCAGGTAATGAATTTCTGGAGTATTTGGTTCAAAATTTAATAGAAACTAGCTCGAAATCCAACTTACAAGAAAGTTCCATTAAAAACTCAAGGGCATAGAAACTTTGGTCTTCGCAGTAAGAAGACAAAACATTTCAGGCCTGTGCGACAAATTATACACTCCTTAGATCACCGCGGACATATGTTTTCTCTAACAATGGTTATTTAACATCATGCTAATGTCGTACAAAAATTGATACTTTGTGAATCCAAATTCCATAAAATTCTGTGTTGTATCTTTAAGAAATTCATGGTCATATTGTTTTGTGTATTATATATTATACTCTGTTCCAGAAAAATAGACCACATTGAATTTTGAGATTTGTACTAAAAACGGTACAAAACTCAAAACTCAATGTGGACTATTTTTTTGGGACAGAGGTAGTATGAGATTTGATTGACACACCTTGGTTCCCTGGACGTAACAACTCTATGATTTTATCAAAATACCAGGTGGTTTTGTATCTTCTGATTCTCAGCATCCTTGGAGCAATTTCATTGCAGAGTTTGTTTATGATAGGTTAGTGATTTTGCTTCACGCACAATACATGTAACTTCCAATAATTCAATTCACATAGTTTGAGAGATGTTCGCTAGCCTTCGCATTGCTTATAACCAAGTAACGAGCTTGTATAATCTAATGGCAGGGATACCCATTGTCTTTGTTATGTTCTTGATCTATGAGAAGAAAGAAGAAGATGTTGATAGATTTATTCAACAAATTAGACCATACCTTGCTGGGAAGTTTTCAGAGTCGAAGAAACAACAGTGATTGACTGATTGTAATCCATCCACAAGCACTTTCATTTTCTACATTCTTCGATGGATCTGCCTTCTTCAAATTTTCCCTCAATCTGAGGGTTTTGAGGCCTTTTGAGTCTGAACGTTTCAATTTGTGCATGCCACATTTTTTTGGCTCTTCTTTACTTGTAGTTTAAGTTGATGAAGTGCTTATCGTAGCATTGGGGACATTGCTTGCTCATCTAATTTGCTTCTTTAGTTGTAGTTTAACTGTTTAAGTTGATGAAGTGCTTACAGTAGCATTCGCTTCCACATCGTGAATCCTTCATTCGTAATGGAGGGAAACTTGCACTGTTGGTGATTTACAGTTGATTATTATAATTATACGAGAATTTACCTTAAATGACCATTTGTAGTGAGTAAAGGTAGTTTATGTCACAATCATGATGTATGCTAGGCAAGATGTATGGTGCATGTTTGCTACTAGTACTTTCTTTACCCTTTTAGCAGGAGATCATTTTTTTTATTCTTAATGATTCAAAACATAGACAAACACCTCTGTTTGTTTCATTTTTACAATGGTTTTTTCATATTAATATAATAATAATCGTAGTATTCAACATATTTTTTACATTTTCAATGCACCTTTTTATATTCTCAATACAAAAACACTTAAAGACACACACTAAAAATCTAAACATTTCATGATATATTCGATAATTGATAAGTTGTAAAAATAATATTTTGATGTAGATTATTTTTTAGGATATGGGGAATAATAATAAATACATAAAATGAACTTACATTCTTGCACGGGTAATATTATTTTCATATCTTATCGAATTTAATAAAAGATTTATCTAAATTTATTTTTTTGAGATAGGTAGTATTGTCATTTTAGAATGGAATATTATCTTTTGTGTTTATGATCGGACCCTGGCCGCGGTTAAAAAACCATCAGTTACGAACCCGCAGTCCGTGTTCTGCCAATTTACAGTTGGTGAAGCGACAGAACTTGAAACTAAACCGAAACCGATCTTTCAATAGAAGGTTTAGGTTGCAATTTATGTTTTATCTTTAGTTTGCCGTTATAAACTGTCGGGTTGTGTTTGTGTTTTTTTTTCCTTGGAGGAAAGTGTTAATTTTAGCACAGCAAAGGACGAAGAAAGAAAAAGGGCGAATTCCATTTTACTCTCGAGTTTTAGCCAATTTTATTTTGAACTCCTAAATTTTGGTAATATTACCTTATATAACCAATTCTGTTATAATCCCGAGTTTTTTAGAAATACTTAAATTGTATACTTTAAAATAAAAAATATAGACTGAAGGATATTTCTGAGTATTTATACAAAATTGATGATAATTCTAATATGATAGGGAGAAATTTGGTAGGTTGACTATAAGTTAAGGATGTTTATGATAATGTTAACAAAATTGGGAGGTTTATGATAAATTGAACCAAAATTCAGAATAAAATGCCCGAGATTCGTCTCTCGTCAGTGTACTAAAAAGTCCGCAATAAAATTACACTCTCTAAAACATGACGGTTCCTTTGTTCATAGCACTTCTCTCCGATGAATAAAAATAGACCCAAATGAACTACAACTTACACTATAAACCTGGATAGTAAGTGAAAAAAAATTAAAATTATAATCTGAACAATGCACCTCGAAAGAAATTGTAAATCTATATCTTTCCCTTCCAATCACCATAAACAACTTGAATTACATGGTAAATTTCTATAAAAACACAAGATCCATGACATTGAACAATTATATAGATGGATTTTGCAGTACAAAATGCAAAAATCTTCAAGCTCCTAGCTATATAGAAAGTGCCTTACGTTCAAGGAAAATTAAGCAGCCCGCAACTCATGAAATACATGTTTGCATTGAATCCTTCGAATCAAAATATCTAAGACCCAAATCGATCTTTTAGTTTTTGCCCATGGTTCTTGGCATATGGGAATGTTTTTTTCTTTTTTTTCTTTTTTTTTTTTTTTTTGTCTTGTACACTTGGAACAACAGGTATATACGAGCAATAAAAGTAGGGAAATATAAATTGTTTATATATGAGAAATCTATATATAAACTGTTTCTAAAAAAAAAGCAATAAAAGTAGGGAAATATTTGTAGCTAATTTGTGATGAGAGCACTGGCGGATCTACAATGGCGCCATGAGGCCTTGACCCCCCACTGGCCCCACTTTAAGCCTTATATATTATCTATATTTTAAATTAGTTTAATATAATATATAATACATAATTAATAATTTATGCAATTCTTATCTTTCTTGCTTAGTTACATTCTTAATTGCATTTTGGATTGACTAAATTTGGTCAACTTAAGAACTAGTATTAATAGGTACTATTTTATTAAAAAAATAAATAAAGTTACAAGTTATTATGAATTATAACTATACTAATGATGCATAAATTCATGTAATAAAATAATAAGATATATTGAAATCATTCAATTTAATTTAACAAATCTTTCAAATTCGATAATTTAGCTACTCATCGTGTGATCGAAATATATATATATATATATATATATGTACATGGTATACGTGTTTTATTGAACAATTTTTTTAAAGATGAGTTATGATTTTGCCTATTGTTGTAATAACTGTAGAAAGAGCTTTTAGCTACAAGCACAATAACATTTATTGATTTTTTAAATACTTATGTGTGATGTCTAGGTTAATTTTTGTGTTAAAAAAAATATTATCAGACACACTTATAATGTGATGAATGCAGTTTCAAAATTTCATCAAAATAAGAATACTTGTTGTGATCAATACTAAGACAATGCTGGTATAAAATTCTTTTCGCTAATGTATTCATGGCCCTCAGTAAAAATTTGTTCTAGATCCACTACTGGATGAGAGTAAAAAATATCGATCAACGTGACCTTTTCCAATTTACTATTTCTTTTGTTCTAACATAATTGTCGTGTTTGAAATTTTAATTTAATCCAAAATAAAATGAAATATAAACTAAATAATTATTTCGCGACAGAGAAGATATCGAATCAGAATAAAGCAAATAAACATACTCACTTGGTCAATGAGTGATGATATACTTAAAAAAATTATTTGACTTAATGCTTGCAACCAATTCACTTTGTAAAACGCTGTCATTATTCTTACTAGTAACAATAACAACAACAACAACCCTCTTTCTTACTAGGTGGGATCGGCTATATGGATTATATGTTGCCATCGTGCTTAATCGGTGCATAAGTCATTAGACAAATTAAACAATTTTTAATCATTTTTGATAGTTTCTTTCCATGTTTTCTTAGGTCTATCTCTACCCCCTTTTAATTTGAATTCTTGATTCTATAGTTTCTACCCTCCTAACTGGAGCCTCTATCGGTCTCGTACGCACATGCCCAAACCATCTCAAGCGATTTTCTCTCATTTTTTCGTCTATTAGGGCTACCTCTACTTTCTCTCTAATACAATCATTTCTAATCCTATCTAATCTAGCACGCCTACACATCCATCTTAACATTTTCATCTCTGCTACTCACATTTTTTTGCTCATTTCATATTTAATAGCCCAACACTCGAATCCATAAATCATCGCCTGTCGAATGCCCGTTCTATAGAACTTACCTTTCAAACGTAATGGTACCTTACGATCACAAAGTATTGATGAGGCACTACGCTATTTATTCCTCCCGGTTTGAATTCTATGTGTCACATCTTTATCAATACTTTCATTTTCCTCTATAATTGATCCTAAATATTTAAAACTTTTCGATGTGTTCACTTTATGCTCACCAATATTAACATTTATCATGTTATTATTACTCCTACGAATACTAAAAGGACATTCCATATATTCCATTTTAGTGCTACTTATGTAAAACCTTTAGATTCTAGTATCTCTCTCCAAGTCTCTAACTTGGCATTAACCCCCTCACTGGTTCCATCTATTAGAACTATATCATCTACGAATGTTTAGTGATTTCATCAATTACTAAAGCAAAAAGATATGGGCTCAACGCCGACCCTTGATGCAAACCAACCGTGTTGGGAATTCACTCGAAATTTCTACGGGAGTTCTCACACATGTTGTCGCATTATTATATGTCTTTTATTGTTTCTATATATCCTACTCTCACTCCCCTCTTTTTTAACACCCGCCACATTATATCCCTATTAACTTATCATATGCTTTTTCAAGGTCAATAAAAACTATGTGCAAATCTTGTTTTCTCTCATTAAAATGCTCACATAATCTTCTTATTAAATGTATAGCTTCTATTGTTGATCTTCCGGGCATAACGCCAAATTGATTTTCCATTATGTTGGTCTCTTGTCTTAACCTAGTTTCTATTATACTTTTTCACAATTTCATCGTGTGATACATTAGCTTTATGCCCCTATAATTAGTACAATTTTGTATATCTCCTTTACTTTTAAAAAAGGGCATTCGTGTACTCTTCCTAGATTGGTTAGGCATTTTCTCACTCTTCATGATTATATTGAATAACTCTGTAAGCCACGTAATTTCAAATTCGCTAAAGTATCTCCACGCTTCTATTGGGATATCATAGGGACATACGGCTTTACCCTTTTTCCTTTTGTGCATAGTTTTCTCAACCTCTTTAATTTGTATTTTCCTATAATATGTGAAGTTGTTATGTTTTTCACTTTACTCTAGCTCACTTAGTGTTGTTTTTCAATTATCTTTTTCATTAAATAGTTTGTGGAAATAATCTTTCCACCTATCTTTTATTATATTATCGTTCACTAAGACATGCCCATGATCATCTTTTATATATTTAATCTCGATTAGATCTTTTGTTTTCTTTTCCCTTATTTTTGTAATTTTGTAAATGTCTTTTTCTCCCTCCTTAGTATCTATTTTTTTTGTAAAAGTTTTAAAACTCTTTTATCTTTGCTTCATTTACTATTTTTTTCACTTCTTTTTTAGCATTTATATATTTTTCTACATTCTCGTCGCTCCTACATATATACAATGCTTTGTAACAAACTTTTTTCTCTTTTACTTTTCTTGAATATCATGATTCCACCACCAGGATTCTTTATTGCATTTATTACCTTTTGAAACTCCTAGTTCCTTTTTAGCAATTATTTTTATTTCTTTAGTTACCTTTTCCCATGTTTTATTGGCTTCTTTTTTCTTGTTCTAATTAACTTTTTCAAGTAACGTTTTTAGTAAACCTATCCTTTTTATCTTTGTTATTAAGATTTCACTATTTTATCCTATATATTTTAGGTATTTTTCTCTTGCATATATTGGTTTTAATTCTTAGATCTATGACTAGTAACCTATGATAGGATATTATACACTCTCCCGGTATTATCTAACAATCTTTATAAAGTTTTCTATAACTTTTCTTAGTAGTCAATTTGTGAGCCGCTTTTATATGTAATTAAGTGTTCATTCTTTTTTTTTTTCTTAAAAAAAAAAAAACAAGGTGTTACATATGACAAAATCATATGCCACCAAAAGGTCTAGTATAGTTTTACCTTCATTGTTTTGTACCCAAAAACCATAACCCCCATGAACCCTCTCATATTCTTTATTTACCTTCCCTACATGTCTATTTAAATCCCCATCTATAAAGATTTTTT